TATATTTGCCACGAAAGAGATTAGGTTTAGAACAGTGTAAGCTCAGATAGTCTACTGTAATTGCAGAATAACATTCAATATGTCTAGGTGAAAGAATATAAGAATGTGTATTTTTGTAACATGTGTAAGCCAATGCAATCTTTGAAAAATGAAAAGAACAATAACACATAACACGTAATGTCGCCGTTAAAGAATAGAGATTTGATGGTTTCATAAGATGAATTACATTCTCAATCACTGTAATCAATATATATAAATCACAGTTAACTAGAAAATAATCTGACAATCACATTTACTGAAGATTTAAAAAATCTCGATACTTGCTTTTTATGAGTTGGTCTGATAGTCGCGTGTATATTCATTGAGATAGCAGGATAGAAATTGAAACAATATCTACAAAAATGCATGAAGACAATACGATACAAATAAAATTGATCATTATATCAAAATAGTCAACGAGATAAGTTATGAAATGTGGAATGATACAATTTGATGATAAAGAATGATTTACACAACTCCAAAAATATTTACAAATGAGACCATGTGATGGAATAAATATTAACGTTTGAGATCGTTTTACATAGTTTCAGGTTTATTCTGTATGAAAGATTCCTAATTCGTGGCAAAATGTTTTACCTGGCAAATGCGCGAACGTTCCCGTTCAACAGTTTCGTAATTAAGTTGACCCGTTTCGAGTTCGCCGACGTCTTCAGCACCGACAGTTTCTTCTGTACAATGCGTGTGCCAGAACGAGTTCTCGTCCTCCTTTTCGGCAGCCAAATTGTCGGTCTTGTAATTCTCGTTGACTTTGATCCAGGTCTCCGAGTCCATGGAGAATCATGGTTGTCATATATTGTTAGTGGTTAAATTGTATTCTAAATAATAACACTGTAACTTTATACTAGAACATAGATACAATTACGATTAATTTTTCACGGAAGTGCAATTGATTGTCGTACAATTAATTCTTCTTCGAAATCAGTAGTATTGGTTAACGTATTATCAGCCAGGAGATAAGAAGATTCTAAAAAAGTAGACCGATCATATTTCTCTCTCTCTGCTATTACGGTATACAGAATTTTTTATTTTCCCTCTGAATTTGGTCGATTTTCCTGTCGAACATTTGTCGAATTGTTGCTATTTGCCGACGCGGAAATATCGGTGTGCTGAATTGAAATTTTCAATTCGGACTCGATGCTCGGACTGAATGAACCCCGAAGCGTTAGACTAAACTGTGTATCATGAAACATTTTTTAATAGAAGTACAAGATAAACATTATAAATATTATAAACGTTTTTCCCTTCAAAGAGACGCGTGGATGAATCAAAGTCACGTTGATTCGGAAGATAACTTACTAAGTGCTTCTAATTCTCGTCATTCGTTCGAAAGATCTGCCATAACGTGAACGTCCAACGGAAGCTTCAATATTTCCTGGAAAAAAGGGAAAGTGATCCGAGCTATAATAATTTTCTCCTTAAATCGCTACCGCCGTTGATCCATCACGACATTGATCGTCGATTCTCTATTTAATGATCGTGTCATCTCAAATCGAATCTATCATTTCACCATCTATGAAAAGGAGTTGAGGAAGAAACATTGAGATGATGAAATCGTTTCTTATAACAAAAAAATGGGTTATGGATTTTCATTACTTTTGAACCCAATAACCAAGATATGTCTCTAAATATCGTTGCTAGAAAAAAGATGTATCTCAACCGTAAATGTACTAAACTGGAATTTAGTTTTGGCTTGGTAATAATCCTGACATATAAACCCTGTAAGAATGGCGACACACGGTGAAAACAAAATACTTGTACGTGTAATGAAAATTTAATAATTATGTGATCCTTCTTCGCACGTGCAAAAGATTTATTTTTACCATTCACGGAATTCTTAATGGTTGCAACTGGATGAACGAAATATCGGTAATTTCACAGCTCAATTAGTAGAGATTTTAAAAAGCAATTACTGAAGTAGATATGCTTTTGCATTAATTAGAGGTAAACACATTGGTGCATTCCATTTCATAGGAACCAACACAGATAAAAATACGAAATCTGTTGGAAACAGTATTTTTTTACAAAATAGATAAAAAAGATTATTGAGTATAAAATGTCTAGGTTTTTAAATTATCGTTAATGTGATGCAATTGAAGACAATTAAACAATGACTGATAAATTTCTTTATACTGAATTTCTGTACTTCAATGTTTACAGTTATCAGATTGTTAAAAGCTCGATTACTATCCTGATAACGATGGTTAAAACATTATAAATATTATAAACGTTTTTCCCTTCAAAGAGACGCGTGGATGAATCAAAGTCACGTTGATTCGGGAGATAACTTACTAAGTGCTTCTAATTCTCGTCATTCGTTCGAAAGATCTGCCATAACGTGAACGTCCAACGGAAGCTTCAATATTTCCTGGAAAAAAGGGAAAGTGATCCGAGCTATAATAATTTTCTCCTTAAATCGCTACCGCCGTTGATCCATCACGACATTGATCGTCGATTCTCTATTTAATGATCGTGTCATCTCAAATCGAATCTATCATTTCACCATCTATGAAAAGGAGTTGAGGAAGAAACATTGAGATGATGAAATCGTTTCTTATAACAAAAAAATGGGTTATGGATTTTCATTACTTTTGAACCCAATAACCAAGATATGTCTCTAAATATCGTTGCTAGAAAAAAGATGTATCTCAACCGTAAATGTACTAAACTGGAATTTAGTTTTGGCTTGGTAATAATCCTGACATATAAACCCTGTAAGAATGGCGACACACGGTGAAAACAAAATACTTGTACGTGTAATGAAAATTTAATAATTATGTGATCCTTCTTCGCACGTGCAAAAGATTTATTTTTACCATTCACGGAATTCTTAATGGTTGCAACTGGATGAACGAAATATCGGTAATTTCACAGCTCAATTAGTAGAGATTTTAAAAAGCAATTACTGAAGTAGATATGCTTTTGCATTAATTAGAGGTAAACACATTGGTGCATTCCATTTCATAGGAACCAACACAGATAAAAATACGAAATCTGTTGGAAACAGTATTTTTTTACAAAATAGATAAAAAAGATTATTGAGTATAAAATGTCTAGGTTTTTAAATTATCGTTAATGTGATGCAATTGAAGACAATTAAACAATGACTGATAAATTTCTTTATACTGAATTTCTGTACTTCAATGTTTACAGTTATCAGATTGTTAAAAGCTCGATTACTATCCTGATAACGATGGTTATCGATAAAACAGATAAACGATTCTTATGAACGGAGGCTACTCGAAATTCTATGCGTAATAATATTTCAAAATCTTGCAGTTTCACTATCTGAAATAACGATAATTCTGAGATAACCATACTTTAATATAGAGAATTTAATTGAGTATGTTTAAACGACGATCTAATTTTTGTTATTAATTCTCTATGCCACCTTACACGCGTTTCTTAATTACGTTTACGATACTAATATTCATACTCCTGGTTACAAAATTTTAATTATATTAGATACAAATCGAATTTTCTGAAATATATTTGCTTTATTATTGCATTTTACTAAATAATTATATTTAGCACAATTATAAACATAACATGTATGTACAACAGAATAAAAATATAATTGAACTTTTCTAAGTATACCAACAGAGAAAGTTATTAATCAAGTAAAATTAATTACGCGCGATTTTGTAATTCAAGCTGCGTAATTATTAACTACAAACTCACTGGTGCAATTAATTCTATTTCAATTTTGCCACTGTGGATGACTGTTTTCTGCAACGTTTTGCAAACCGTGGAACTCGGAATTGTACAACAAATTTCCGAATCGTAATTTAAATTACCAGAAATGAAATTACAGGAAACGCTGAGAACAGTTTAAAGTTGGATATAAAGTTTCAGTCGACGAACGATTTAACTTTCGATTGGACACAACTACGGTAATTATCATTGCATCAGGAAGTCGAGAAATGTATATTGAAAGCTTGCATCGATTTATTCAAATCAACTGACATAATTACTAACGAAAGTTATTATTAGATAAAACTTTTTACACTGAACAGCGGATCTTCAAGCAAAAATAAAACATTCATAGCATCAATTTAAAAAATGTGATTGGAATAGTCCTTTATTCCTTTACATTCGTAGTATTTATATTTTTCTGTACGATCTTCTTATACACACATTAAAATCACAAATGTTTTATTTTTAATAAAAAATCGCAATCCAATGACTATGTATACAGTCACCTAATACAGAAAATCGTTCGTTTAATTTTAATTAACGCGAACTTTGAAATGATTTTCAAACGGCGCCTGTTGAAGTTACGGGAGTGTAAATTTTTCGCAAAAGCCCAAGTGCCGCGCAAAGGAAAACGTGAAACATTTTTTTCATCCTGGAACGAGTCACCGCGAAACCGCGTGAAAGCGAGAGTCGTCGTAGAGCCGTTTCGTTAATATTTATTTTCGCGTTCGCGAGAACTTCTCTCGTCTGGCCGTGGTCCCTCCATCCGTTCATAGACGTTTCCTTCCCTTTTTCTCGCATCAACGCGTCGTCGCGTTTAACTTTACTTGTTATAATTGCATCCGCGTCAGCGCTGTCACATAATCACGAGGATATTTTGCCAAACGAGAAAACAGAAACGGAATTGTACCTCTGTTTTATAAGCCAAACGCAGAAGTGATGCAAGGCTGAGTAACGTTTCGAGCTTAATTACCACTTTTGATAACGAGATGATTTATTATGATAGCTACAGCAATTATCGCAATTTATATTGATATTATATATTTTGCAAACATGCATATGTACATCCTGATATAAAATAAATTCCTAATCAAATTTCATTTTCAAAAATAATACATCGATTGTATGGGGGACATGAACTAACTGGGGGACAAACATGCTCGTCGAACAGAACTTTCGTATGATAGAATGATAACAATTGATAGGGCATGATTGCGTATAATGGCTAAAAGAACAACGATCAGCGATAAGTTTGTGAGATACTTTTTATTTTTGTCTACTACTTTGACACTTCATAAAGAAACAATATAATAAGTTATATAACGTAATAAGTTATACATACACATGTTATAACATGTTATAAGTTATATATGTATGATATATAGATAATATAAATAATATAATTTAAATGCGGAAACAATGTACTAATACTAAGTACGTCAGTTACGGAGTACAACGTCTTCCAAATGCTATTTACAAGACTCCGAATTTGGAGTCGGGTTTAATGAGAACCAGGAATCCTGTTGCAGGCACCTTCACCTTCTTAATATCTTTGATGGTCGTTCTGTGTTTGTAACAAGTATTTACAAAATTTAGTTGCAGTCATAGAGTATACGCACTAATAAACGCAAACGATTAAAACTTATGATTATATAATACGAAAAAATCAAAAGTATACTCACTTCGGTAGGGAAGTAATACCATCGGTGGCGTAATAAGTGTACAGCTTCTTGGGTACGTTATTGAAGGCTGAGAGGTCTACAATATCTTCCTGCTCACTGAAGTTAATTACTGCATATACTGATCCGTATTTCTTGTGTTCCCTAAAGATAAAAGAATGAATGTAGTATAAAAAATAGTGAAATAAATGTATAGAATCTATGAAGCGTGTAATTGTATTGCAATATGAATCTCAATCGAAGGATTGCAATCGAATCATTACAATTGATAAGACACAAATTTCTGAAGTGATAACATTAATATTTGTTATTGATTTATAATAACCATGAAGTAATTCGATAATCATCATTAAATATCCACCTTTTCAGACTGGCTCTAAACCGATTAAGTCAATAAATCATCATTTAAAACTCTTAATTTTTTGAACGTATCGCATTTCTCATTGACTCATCCGATATGATTTCTAACGGACAGCAAAGCTCTGAACAATTTGTATTACCTTGAGAACGCGAAAACGTTGTCGCTCAACAATTTTGTATTTAACTTGGTTTGTTTAAAATTTGGAGATTGCTTCAGTGTTGCCAGCTTCAGGTACATGGTCCAGACCGAATTCTCATCCTTCTTTTCGGCAGCCAGATTTAGAGTCTTGTAATTTTCGTTGACCTTGATCCAGGTCTTCGGGTTCGTGGAGAATCCTGCGCGCCATACATTATTAATAATATTTTTCAAAATATACAATACCAGTAATTTATCAATTCTCATTTGAAGATCTAATAAGCATTTATTCCAATCGTTTAATAAAAAATGACTTAAAAAACAAAAGACTAGGTTGATCTAGTAAAGGCTCTCTTAAACTAAAGTACTCACCAGCAGCAGTAGAATTATCCCATTGAAAAGGTGTTCGTTCGGGGTCCCTAGTTTGCGATAAATATTTTTCTGGTCCAGCCAAGCATCCTTCCGGGTCTTGATTCTCCTCCCATGAAATATAAGCGTCGGTCATACCGATTTCCTCGCCGTAGTAAGTTACGCCAATGCCTGGTAGCAGAAGCGTCATCATCGTGATAGCGCGGGCTCGTTTCGGTCCGAATCTCGCTGCTATCCTATTTCTGTCATGGTTTCCGACCTGCGCGCACAGTCACAAAATTAAAACTACCCTCTGATATGCTTTTGCAAACAAAAAATGTCTTTGTCAAAACTAGTGTCATTAAAATATAAACTCACCACCCAGTTGGGAGTGCGACCAGTTGGCATGTTGTTCATCCAGCTGTCGACAACGTTCTTGAAATCGGCTGCTTTCGAATCCTTATTTACATCAGTGATCAACTTGAAATTGAATGGGAAGTCCGCTCCGTATTTGTAGTATTTTATGGTGGAATTCAAGTCTGTGTACGCCTCGGTCGTCATGATCAAATCCTTATCGAACTCGTTCATAACATCTCTCCAGCCTTGAATGACTTTGTACGTTTCTAGGAGATTGTTGGTATAAATATGTGCGAGGTAGTTTTTATCTGTAGGGTCGTCAGTCTCATATGATCGCGGCTCGTCCCGAAATTGCAAGTCTTCGCACAGAAACATGGCCGCGTCCACTCGAAGTCCATCTACGCCTTCCTTTAGCCAGAATCTAACAACGTCCTGCAATGATTATTATATAAATTAGATAATTATATTTATGCGATATATATAGATGCGTATATTTGCTTTTGATATTATGAATATTATCATGTATCACATGTGACATTTCTATTCTTTTTGCATATTAAATTATTTCATAAATGAATAAGATCGGCAGTTTAATAATCACAATATCTAAGATGCAAAAAATTTGAATCATCTCAATGTAAAAGCAACATTAAGAAACAAGTAAAAAGCAGCTAATTGGAATAACGAGATTATTTATGGGTATCCTCAGTAATTTTAAAAACCATTATCTCGCAAATATAAATTGGGATACGTAGGGTTCCCTTACCTTCATCTCGTTAATCACATTTTCGTTATAGAAATCCAAATCCGCTTCCTCAACTGTAAATTGATGAAGATAATACGCTTGTCGTTCATCTCGCCATTCCCAAGCGCCTCCGGCTATATTACTCATCTGTGAACAAAATTATTTACGTAATTTAACATACTGTAACATGGAGAAACAAATAAGAATTGTTGATTCTATTACATTCAGTTGTTCACTATAAATAATACGTGTAATAATAAAATTAATGAAACGTAATTTCTCATATGTGGTAATTACTGTTGCACATCTAATAAATTGCTAATAAAATTACAATTCACATCTCACAATTCATTAAAATTCAGATAATTCAACATTAACTTTAACTTAATCAATAAAATAAGTTATTGCAGAATATTTGGAACATTTGAATCATACAATATTACAGAGCTCGGTAATAAATATAAGACCTGACATAAATGTCTCTAGCGAAGGTAATCGGCATTTTGTTTATTGCTTATGAGGATTAGGAGAATTAAAGCAGTCGCCCGGACAAGCGGAAAGTCCCGGGTGTGATTTCCGGTTCAACACGAACAGTGTGCCTCTTTTTCTCTTACAGTTAATTATTGTACATTTACTCGTAGCTTACCCAATTGTTCGGTGGGACGCGGGTGCCATTTTCCAGTACTTTCCCTTCGTGCCAGACAAAGTAATCCTTATAAGGTTCGATACCCTGCAAACTCTTCAGGAACCACGGATGTTTCGTCGAGGTATGATTCGGTACGAAGTCTATGACCACCTTCAGATTTTTAGCGTGCGCGGCCTTCACTAGTTCTCTAAAGTCTTCCAGCGTTCCGTAAACGGGATCAATGTCGGTGAAATTCGAGATGTCGTAGCCAAAATCTATCATGGGGCTGGGGTTGATGGGAGACGACCATATGACGTCTACTTTCGCCTCGATGAAATGATCTATATTTTCTATGATGCCTACGAGAGAAAAACAATTGATTTTTTAGATAATCCTTATACGGAGAGATACGTATATTTTGTAAAATATCATGTAAAATAATCAATTAAAATGGAGATAGAAACGAACCTCGAAGATCTCCTATGCCATCCCCATCGCTATCCTTGAAACTTCTCGGATAGATCTGATAGAGTGATAGGTCCAGGTAACTATACTTTTCGCTTTTACCACCGGCTTGTGCGCTGACCATCAAACACGCGATTATAGAAAATAATATCACCGCCCTCATGTTGCCTGTGCACACAGAATATATCATTGAATATTAACTGAATTGCTTAACTGACCCCACAGTTTGGTGGTTTCGCGCAACCTTTCACTGCCTGCACCGCAGCGAACCGATAAACGTGAACTCTGAACTTGAAATGTATAGAAGTATCGCTAGTGTACATAGTATAGTAGCTGAAGAAAGTATTCGGCTTCCTTTTAAAACTGAATAACTATTTTAATACTGGACCAAAAGTTTCTGTGGGATGCTAGTATAGTTCACTATGTAATGCATAAATAAATTTGGTAAAAATGATTGTTTGCAGTCACGAAATGAGAAGTAGACGTCATGTATTCTAACTTGTTACTATACCGTAGTAATTATCATTAGTCAAAATATTCACGAAGTTTTTCTTCATACAGTAAAACTTGGTACAAGTTAACAGTGATATTTTATTTCACATACCTCTTTGCCAACTACAATTCGTCGGATGAACCCGTGGTAATGGTACAATTTCCTTGTCGGGCAAATGCTTTATATAGCGGCTAGATTATGTAAAATATCATCGTTAAGTCATAGTTTTCCACTTTCCTACTTATTCTTGAAGATAAATTAGCAAGTTTGAAATAGTACAGTACAAGTTTCAAAATAATCTAATTATGGACGATTATTCTTGTACTGAAAGTGTTTTGATCGACAAGCTTAAGAGTAATTGTGTGGTTTTTTCTATTGTGCAACGTAACTTATAACATTATCGTTGACAACGTGTTCAATTTAATTGATCATCGTACACGGAAACAGGTGTATCATACTCGTATCAACAGTTATTACTATTCCTAAAAGAAATTAGTTCGCATTAATAGTGATGATTCCACATTGAGGAGAAGGTAACTTACGTTGTCATAAATTAAGATACAAGATAGAGAATAAAATATTTCATTTACCATACTAAAAAGAAATTAATTAATATAGTCAAAAAATATTACAATTTAATATAATATATATATTTAAATGCATGTTTCCCGTGTTAAATTCTTCAAAGTGTTCCATTAAAAAGTGCGATACTACAACAGTTCGTAGCATTTAGCATAATTGTCAGCTAATTTTAAACGGAAGGAAAATAAATGAAATAGCTCGAAATCGTCACATGCCATTTGTTTATCACGCAAATATTGTATATTTGCAGATAATATACGAGCTTTTACTTGATGTTTAGCTCGGTAATAGAGATATGGTCCTTTATAATTGCGAGTTTAATTTTTCGTATCGACTCTTATCTCGGTTGTTTTTACCTTTTCCACTTCACGAGCAGGATATATTTCATTGGAGTGTAACGTAATACCATGTTCTTATATTGATTTCATTTTTGCGTTCTTCTGTTATTTTGTTGTACAGTGAGAGTCAAAAGTGAGCATACACTCCATACGTATGAGATTCTACATTATACATATTTACAGCGTATGTTGCAAAAACCAAAGTTGTGATGTTGTTGTAGATGGTATTTCTAGTGTCACAATCGTATATAAAAACACATCTAAGTGAAGTACGTTTCCAATGTTTTGAGGTGTACATAGCAAAAGTAGTTAGTCTGTTATGAAAGATAGTCAAGTAAAATGATTTTCTAGAAACAGTAATTTTTAAATAAGCGTGAATTTGCGTGAATTCTCATCAGTGTTGATTATTTTGAAATTCTTAGTGCATAAATAGAATTATGAGCAAAAATCGTACAGAAGCTTCAGAAGACATGACGAAACTTAGTGTTAAATTAAGAAACGAAGAAAAATCATTACGAGAAATAGAGGAGTTCAGTTGCCAGATTCGTGGATCTTTCGAGATTCTGAACATACAACAAAGATTGTTAAGGATTGATTGAAGACCGAATTCAGTTATTGGACTTATGTACTAAAATAGATATCCACTTTCATCTTTCACGTTTACTATGGATGAATCTTCCGGGACACACGGCCAAATTGTAAACACGCCGATCCGCTTTAATGCCAAGCGGAACTCGAGCCAACCCAATTCGGCAAGATAACAGGAGAACAAAGACTCGCGAACTAACGTTACTGACCTAACGCATCGATCCGACCACCAAAAGGAACCGCCGTCCATTGGTGGTGTCTACAGTTTATTTACCCCGACCCATTGTTTAATCCACGAGCTAATTTAAGCGTACATCGTCGCACATGACCCAATCCAAGCATTTTCGCTATAATAAAAGAGTCCCTCGAACCGATTTCCGCAACGCTGTCTGACAATAATCTAGTAAATGAGATTTTCCCCGTTCAAAATTACATTATTGCACTCAATAAGACTCCGCGTTGCTTTATCTTGTTAGTAATGTTCTTACTTCAGATTCAATAACTATTTCCGAGCCGCTAATGTGAAACAAGTAGAATCTTAGATATCAGTTTGTTCAACAGCTTAATGCAAATTGAGGATGAAGAGGAGACTGCGGATTTAATGCATTTATAAAAAAATTGTATTTGCTGGAAATTTAAAAGATGTACATCATATACATAGACATACAGAATATCAAATGAGAAATATATATATCGTTTATTAAAGGGTATAAGAAATTCATTTTTTATGTTGGCGAAGCTCGATTTCGCAAAACTCTAATTTTTTGTCGAATCCGTTGCACATTCCGCTTTTTCAAGTTTTTGAAGTATATCATATATCACTTCCTTTTCAGTTGTCAAAACTGCAGGTTTCGATTCCAGCGACGTGACGATATAATATACCAAATACATATACATAGGTGTAGATCTATTATAATTCTCGCCTTCCAAGAGTTACGGAATGAACTTGGTTCATATAGATACAATATTTCAATAATTCTTATCAAACCCATCCATACTCATACTGTAATGTATTAAATATATGTATACTATTCTTATTTCATACGGAATCGTTAAATAAAATGCAGAAATGAATATATATGTACATAAGCATTTAGTATGTGCGCATACAACAATGTAATTTGAAATGTATTTTTCATATAATGGAATGGTCAGATAATGTTCGTATAACAGACATTCTATTATATTTTATATCTGCCCATTTGAAAAATATTGTCTACCACAGACTATAAGGTTCGTTCCAATTTGTTCAAACCATTGCAGTATGCATTCCTTTAAAAACGAGGATGTTCTAGACTTTAAGGAATGCCGTGGTTGGTATATTGTATCGACGAGGTGAAAGAGGCATTTTCGATCTCGAATGCCAGAACCTGCGATCCGATGCCAGAGTTTATATCTTCACCCGAGATTTTACAGCTCAACGGTAGACAGTTGAAAGGATAAGCCGGGAATTTCAGAGGGGTGGGTTATGAGTGGCCTTCATAAGCACAACCCTTCCAGTCGAAGGCATTTCATGTGATACAGACGATGATGTGTTCATTAATTAGAAGTCCTGACGTTTTGAAAAGGAAAATGGAAACAAACTCTGTTACCTTTTTCGTTAAACGTCTCTTTTATTACTTTTCCATGTTCTTCGATATTCTAACAATATTAGTTTTGAGCTTACACGTTAAGTTAGATCTTTACGAAAAAATTCCCAATTCCCAATCATCAATGTTCACGTTACAATTTCTACTCGCTTACGCATTTTTACATTATAAAAAAATATGCTAGCTAGTAGAAATTATGAGATCAACAGAAATTGGAACGATATTTATTTTATTCCTTGATGGTGCTAAACTTCATCTATATCAAACCTTAAAAACTATGAAAATAAAATTAATAAATGTTTCTTATATCCGATTATGTTTGTACGAGAACACAATTNGAGATGACCTTTTATTTAAAAGCTAATTTGCATTCCTGCATTACCTTGTCCTTTCAATGTGTGTTATTCAATGGAAATTTTCAAAAACCTATTATAATGCTAACGTATACATGTGGAAGTTATATTGAACAAGCATGTTTAGTTAAGCTCGTTCTGTATCTACGGGGTTACGGTTTGTCTATGATTCTGTGTGGACACTAGGTAATAAAGTCTAACGCGTCGCCTATAAATTATCTTTTACTGCATGCGTTCATATATTCACGGCGAGGTACGGTTAACAACTGTTTTATTAATACCGTTTAAACCGGCACTCGACTATTACTAACTACGCGAATAGTTGAAATGTCTGCAAATTTTAGTATTGTCCACGTGAATGATATGATCGTCCATATTTCATCCTAAATTACGAGCTTCTTGATTAAAGAAGAATTTTAATTAGTAGAACTAAACTTTTATGCGAAATAAAATTTTTGTGATATTAATTTAAAAAAATGCAAATGGAGGTACAATATAAAAAGTTAAATTAAATTAAAGGGTTTGCTGATACTTTTTTTATTCACTATGTATATTGTAATACATTCCCATTCATTTTAATAGGAAGAATTCAAGTTTCGTTCATACTTCAAAAATAATTGTGTTATAATGTAAATTCTTGTCTATCGCACGTATTTTTTATATTTTCTGGACATGTAATTTTTTTACAAATACATCAAATCTGCAGTTTGGTAATAATTAACAATTTCAGATACTAATCTTTCTCAGAGTTAGTAATTAAATTTAACACAGTTACGTATCACTTAATTAATTCAATTCTCTCTTCGGCACGAGACCATTTGTCGAACGCTTTATCTTCATGAGACTAGAGGGCGAGGAAATTACTGTTGAAACGCGAAGAAAAACTGAGCTAAATTCGTCGAAATGCCGGATGGTGAGTGAGTGGTCTCGAGTTCATTGTCTGTTGCTACTGTCAGTCTCTTTATACACTATATCTAAACTGTAGTGGCTGCAGAGCGAGCGTTGATGGGTAACGGCTAGGAAATAAAACTTTTGATAGTTACGCTCTCATGAGCAGGTCTGGCCGATAAAAAACCAATCATCTTGACTCTATCCTCGCAGACTAGTTTCTGTGAATTCGTTTGATTTCTCTCACTACACGTCTTCAACATACTGGAAACGAGTTCTAATATTTCACGTAAATATACATATGTATATGGTATGTAGCACGCTTCACATACAAGATGTCCTGAATTTGTCTGTTCAACGAAACGAGAGTATACAGTAATATTAAAATAGTATCTAAACGACATTAATAATTATTATTAAGACGTAGCAATATACATTCTATTTATCTTAATCTATGTATAAAAAGAATAAAAAAGTGTTATATAAAATTTATCAAGAAACACATTCTTACAAAGTTATGAACAAATAGTCTATGCATGAAATAAATATGATTTAATGGAAAGACGTTTTTAAGACACATTTTAATTTATTCTTCATTTCTACTTATGTTTATGATTCTATTCTAATTCTAATTATTAGTATAGCATTTCCTGACGAAGTTTATGTAACGTTCTCTTTTCTTTAAGTATAAATCAACCTCTTACAATTTGATTTTCTAAACAAGTTCGAGACACCTTGTATGTAGTATGTAACACGTGCCACATGTGTATTTGCGATCGGATGTTGAGTTTGAGAATAAGAACGATTCCCAGTGGAGAATTGTGTACACAGTACTACTTGTCCGGGCGTTTGGACTCTTATTCCCAACCCATTGAAACTATCTATTATTAACTTCAGCTTGAGAAGTAAAGTTCTAAAAATATTTAAAAAAAAAATTGCCAATATCGAAGTTAATTGTGTTAAGTGAAATGATTTCAATTAATGTTAAAGTGTAAGGATGGGTCGTTTAATTGTTAAGTGGGTTCGATGGGCCAATTGTGCGAGGTACTTTTTATTTTTGTCTACTATTTGAACACTTCATAAAGAAGCAATATAACATAATAAGAACGTAATATACGATAAATATCACTTATGGAGCGTCATCCAAATAATAATACAGTGGTATACGACCTGAATCCGTTTCTGATGTTTAGACTTATACCAATTAGGACGTATACCAAACGAATCTTTCCCCTAAGAAGTAATCTAAGAATAATTAATCTGTTCTGAAGTAAAAAAGTATTCCCACTGATATTATACGTACATTAATGGGGTTATAAAATAAATTAAACACTGTTTAAACACATATACAACATATGAGATTTTATTATAGATTTTTAAATTTGAACTCTGCTTAATATTAAAATGAAAAAGGAAGCAAATAAGTAAAATTGTTACGTCCAACCAGGACGTATTCCAAAGCAGGCGTATACTGAGGTACCAGTGTACTAATATTTACAAGACTCCGAATTCGGAGTCGGAGCTAATGAGAACCAGGAATCCTGATGCAGGCACCTTCACCTTCTTAATTTCCTTGATGATCGTTCTGTGTTTGTAACAAATATTTACAAAATTTAGTTGCAGTCATAGAGTATACGCACTAATAAACGCAAACGATTAAAACTTACAATTATATAGTACGGAAAAATCAGAAGTATACTCACTTCGGTAGGGAGGTAATACCATCGGTGGCGTAATAAGTGTACAGCTTCTTGGGTACGTTATTGAAGGCTGAGAGGTCTACAATATCTTCCTGCTCACTGAAGTTAATTACTGCATATACTGATCCGTATTTCTTGTGTTCCCTAAAGATAAAAGAATGAATGTAGTATAAAAAATAGTGAAATAAATGTATAGAATCTATGAAGCGATGAAATTAATTTTATTGCGATATGAATCTCAATCGAAGGACTGCAAGCAAATCATTACAATTGATAAGACACAAATTTCTAAAGTGATAACATTGATATTTGTTACTGATTTATAATAACCATGAAGTAATTCGATAATCATCGTTAAATATCCACCTTTTCAGATTTGCTCTATACCCATTAAGTCAATAAATGTAATCATTTAAAACTCTTAATTTTCTGAACGTATCGCATTTCTCATTGACTCATCCAATATGAAAGATTTCTAACGGACAGCAAAGCTCTGAACAATTTGTATTACCTTGAGAACGCGAAAACGTTGTCGCTCAACAATTTTGTATTTAACTTGGTTTTTTTAAAGTTTGGAGATCGCTTCAGTGTCGCCAGCTTCTCGTACATCTTCCACACAGAATTCTCATCCTTCTTTTCGGCAGCCAGATTTAGAGTCTTGTAATTTTTGTTGACCTTGATCCAGGTTTTCGGGTTCGTGGAGAATCCTGCGCGCCATACATTATTAATAATATTTTTCAAAGTGTACAATACATGTAATTTATCAATTTTCATCTGAAGATCTAATAAGCATTTATTCCAATCGTTTAATAAAAAATGACTTAAAAAACAAAAGACTAGGTTGATCTAGTATAGAAAGGTTTTCTTAAAATAAAGTATTCACCAGCAGCAGTAGAATTATCCCATTGGAAAGGTGTTCTTTCCGGGTCCGAACTATGCGATAAGTAATTTTCTGGGCCAGCCAAGCATCCTTGCTCGGATTGATTCTCCTCCCATGAAATATAAGCGTCCGTCATACCGATTTCGTCGCCGTAGTAAGTTACGCCAATGCCCGGTAGCAGAAGCGTCATCATCGTAATAGCGCGGGCTCGTTTCGGTCCTAATCTCGCTGTCATCCTGTTTTTGTCATGGTTTCCGCCCTGTGCGCCCAGTTACAAAGATTTAAAGCTGTCCTCCACCACATTTTTGCAATCGTCGAAATACATGAAGCCCGTTGGCAAATAATTAATGTAATATCATGTTTAAATCTAGTTTTTAATGACACCAGAGGAATATATAAAAACAAATACTATTTTGTTGTGTAACTAGATCAAATTTCATATTTTACTTCCAATTTCGCGTGTTTCATTATCGCACGTTTACTACCTTGTCGCCTTTCATCGGGACAAATTACACAAAGTGTTACGATCATACGCTCGAGATCGTTTGGAATCTCGTCTGCTTTTACTTTTACAAAATTCGAAGAATATGACTGATGATAGCAATTTTAGATTGAGAAAGATAGTACAAATCTGTTTCACTTTGACCTTTTCCAATTATTTTAATAATCATCTCTATTTCAACTATTATTTTTTTACTATATTATTTTTTAGATTTCAATTATTATAGTATCTGTGAACGAAAACACTATAATGCAAATATATACAGCCCACAATAAATTGATAATAAAAGCTTATCAATTGTCTAAAAATTGAAAATTAATTGCTCATCTTGTTGACTTCGTTAAAATTAGTCTCATTAAAATATAAACTTACCACCCAGTTGGGAGTGTGACCAGTTGGCATATTGCTTATCCAGGTGTCAACAACTTTCTTGAAATCGGCTGCTTTCGAATCCTTATTTACATCCGTGATAAACCCGAAATTGAATGGGTCCGCTCCATATTTGTAGTAATATATGGTGTGATTCAAGTCTGTGTACGCCTCGGTCATCATGAGCATATCCTTACCGAACTCGTTCATAACATCTCTCCATCCTTGAACGATTCTGTACGTTTCTGGGAGATTGTTGGTATAAATATGTGCGAGGTAGTTTTTATCTGTAGGGTCGTCAGTCTGATATGATCGCGGCTCGTCCCGCAATTGCAAGTCTTCGCACAGAAACATGACCGAGTCCACTCGGATGCCATCCACATCGTGCTTCAACCAGAATCTAAGAATGTCCTGCAATGATTATTACATAAATTAGATAAAACAGAGTGCTAACACGGAGGACTTAGAACTAGCCATAAGTAATAAAATCTAGAGTATTTTATAAAGAAATGGGATTTAATCAATTACGTAGTTATTAATTATAATCAAAAATGCATAAAATCCGCAGTCTCATAATCACAGTATGTAAGATGCAAAAAATTTGAATCATCTCAATGTAAAAGCAACATTAAGAAACAAATAAAAAGCATGTAATTGGAATAACGAGATTACTTATAGGTATCCTCAGTAATTTAAAAAATCCATTATCTTGCAAATATGCTTTAGGATAGTAGGATTCCTCTACCTTTATCTCGTTAACCACATTTTCGTTATAGTAATTCAGATCTGCTTCTTGTACTAGAAGTTGATGAAGATAATATGCCTGTCGCTCATCTCGCCATTCCCAAGCGCCTCCGGATACAACACTCATCTGTAAACAAAATTATTTACATACTTACAATATGGACAACCAAATAAGAATTGTTGATTTTATTATATTTAGTTGTTCATCATAAATTATGCATGCAGTTGTAATATTAAAATTAATGGAATGTAGTATCTCACACGTGATAATTACTGTTGCATAACTAATAAATGGCTAATAAAATTACAATTCACATCTCACAATTCGTTACGTAATTCATTTAAATTTGTATTCTTGAACGTTAACTTCAAGTGCGCTTACTTAATCAATAAGATAAATCATTGCAGAATATTTGGAATATTACAATGATATTTTATTATAGAACTCGGTAATAAATATAAGACCTGACATAAATGCGTAGGGAATCGGCATTTTGATATGTTTACTGCTTATGAGGATTAGGAGAATTAAAGCAGTCGCCCGGACAAGCGGAAAGTTCCGGGTGTGATTTCCGGTTCAACACGAATAGTGTGCCTCCTTTCTCTTATACTTAATTATTGTACATTTACATGCAGCTTACCCAATTGTTCGGTGGGACGCGGGTGCCATTTTCCAATACTTTTCCTTCGTGCCAGACATAGTAATCCTTATAAGGTTCAATACCCTGCAAACTCTTCAGGAACCACGGGTGTTTCGTCGAGGTATGATTCGGCACGAAGTCTACAATCACCTTCAAATCTTTAGCATGCGCGGTCTTCACTAGTATCTCGAAGTCTTCCATCGTTCCAAAACTGGGATCGATGTCGGTGAAATTCGAGATGTCGTAGCCAAAATCTATCATGGGGCTGCGGTAGACGGGAGAAATCCATATGGCATCTACTTTCGCCTCGATGAAATGATCCATATTTTCTATGATGCCTACAACAGAAAAACAATTGATTTTTTAGATAATCCTTATACGGAGAGATACGTCCATTTTGTAAAATATCATGTAAAATAATCAATTAAAATGGAGATAGAAACGAACCTCGAAGATCTCCTATGCCATTTCCATCGCTGTCCTTGAAACTCAATGGATAGACCTGGTAGAGCGATAGGTCTCGGTTGCTGTACTTTTTGCTTTTACCAGCGATCTCTGCGCTGACCATCGAGCACGTGATTACAGAAAATAATATCATCGCCCTCATGTTGCCTGTGTACACAGAACATATCATTGAATATTAAATGAATTGCTTAACTGAGCCCACAGTTGGGTGGTTTCGCGCAACCTTTCATAGCGCGCACCGCAGCGAATCGACAAACGTGAACTCTGAACTTGAAATGTATAGAAGTATCGCTAGTGTACATATGTATAGTAGCTGAAGAAAGTATTCGGCTTCCTTTTAAAACGGAATAACTATTTTAATATTGGACCGAAAGTTCCTGTGGGATACTAGTGTAGTTTACTGTGTAATGCATAAATAGATATGGTAAAAATGATTGTTCGCAGTCGCGAAAAGAGAAGTAGACGTCACGTATTCTAACTTGTTACTATAACGTAATAATTATCATTAGTCAAAATATTCGCGAAGTTTTATCTTTGTACAGTAAAACTTGGTATAAGTTAACAATTGTATTTTATTTCGCATACCTCTTTGCCACTTACAATTCGTCGGATGAATACGTGGTAATGGTAAAATTTTCTTGTGGGGCAAATGCTTTATATAGCGCCTAGATTATGTAAAATATCATCGTTAAGTCATAATTTTCCACTTTCCTACTTGTTCTTGAAGATAAAGTATCAAGTTTGTAATAGTACTGTGCAAGTTTGAAATACTATAATTCTAGATAATTTAACCGAAAATATCTGCAAAGTACGTCAATGTTTGTTTTGTTCCAAAAGTTTAAAACCAATTGTATAATTTTCTCTATAGTGCAACGTAACTCATTACATTACCGTTAACAGCATTAATACTGAACCTACCATGTACGGTTTAATTGACCCCCCTCAAATTCTTCTATACAAGATAGAAAGAAAACGAAAATTATTTTGTCGTATTCCATCGCTGTCCTTGAAACTCAATGGATAGACCTGGTAGAGCGATAGGTCTCGGTTGCTGTACTTTTTGCTTTTACCAGCGATCTCTGCGCTGACCATCGAGCACGTGATTACAGAAAATAATATCATCGCCCTCATGTTGCCTGTGTACACAGAACATATCATTGAATATTAAATGAATTGCTTAACTGAGCCCACAGTTGGGTGGTTTCGCGCAACCTTTCATAGCGCGCACCGCAGCGAATCGACAAACGTGAACTCTGAACTTGAAATGTATAGAAGTATCGCTAGTGTACATATGTATAGTAGCTGAAGAAAGTATTCGGCTTCCTTTTAAAACGGAATAACTATTTTAATATTGGACCGAAAGTTCCTGTGGGATACTAGTGTAGTTTACTGTGTAATGCATAAATAGATATGGTAAAAATGATTGTTCGCAGTCGCGAAAAGAGAAGTAGACGTCACGTATTCTAACTTGTTACTATAACGTAATAATTATCATTAGTCAAAATATTCGCGAAGTTTTATCTTTGTACAGTAAAACTTGGTATAAGTTAACAATTGTATTTTATTTCGCATACCTCTTTGCCACTTACAATTCGTCGGATGAATACGTGGTAATGGTAAAATTTTCTTGTGGGGCAAATGCTTTATATAGCGCCTAGATTATGTAAAATATCATCGTTAAGTCATAATTTTCCACTTTCCTACTTGTTCTTGAAGATAAAGTATCAAGTTTGTAATAGTACTGTGCAAGTTTGAAATACTATAATTCTAGATAATTTAACCGAAAATATCTGCAAAGTACGTCAATGTTTGTTTTGTTCCAAAAGTTTAAAACCAATTGTATAATTTTCTCTATAGTGCAACGTAACTCATTACATTACCGTTAACAGCATTAATACTGAACCTACCATGTACGGTTTAATTGACCCCCCTCAAATTCTTCTATACAAGATAGAAAGAAAACGAAAATTATTTTGTCGTATTGTGAAAGTTGTAATTATTATTTAAGCCGGTACCAAACGAAATTATCAGTGCCAACACTAAAGTGCACTCAAATATAAGAAATATAAATATAGTATAGTAGTGTGCAAGAACCGGCGTATGTCAACTCTGAACTTCTTTACAGAAGTATCGCTAGCGTATAGCACAGGTGGTACAGCTAAATTTGATACAAGTTAACAATGATATATTATTCCTCGCTCTATAATATTCCTAACAATGATATTCATACCTCGTTGCCAGCTTCAATTCGTCGGGTAAACCCGTGGTAATCGTACAATTTTTTAGTAGGTCAAATGCTTTATACATATAGCACCTAGATTATGAGAAATATCATCGTTAGACATAATTCTCCACTTTTCTACTTGTTATTCAAGATAAAGTTTGCTTTAAATAGATCGTGGAAAATAATACTAATAATATTTGGCCTTTCTTATACATACATGTGTAATTGTAGATATATATTTATGTATGTTATAATAAGGTACACAGATACTTAAGACAATCATAATGCATTGTAAATTAACTTTAATAAGTGTTACGTACTCGTCCCCAACGTTTCCAGAACGTTTGAAACTAGTTACGTATGCATCCCTTGCGTAGGTGAGTCACGGTTCGAGGCGAGCATAAAAACTCATACAACCATCCCCACTTGCCCTACGATTTAACTTCCAATACCGTGTGCCCGAAATAAAAACAAAAGCATCGAGCCTAGCCGGTTCTCTTGACGGTGGGGTCCATCAATAAAGCACGAACGTGGCACATGTTTGCATTGACGACAATTTCATAAAAATTAATTCGTAAATCTATTCGTAAAATCGTAGCTATAATATTATTGATTAATAGCAGTTCAGGTTGCACTCATCGAAAATAGAAAACATTGCAACTTCCGCAATGTTCTCAAGAGACTGTTTAGTTGCGCAGTATCGTATATTCTAAACTCTAGACGGTATGGTACTACGAGGGACGATTTTAGTGTAGCTTTAAATTTTCCAAGTATTCGAGAAACACGGGAAAATACTATGTATGTAGGATTACTTGCTCTTTTATTGGGAGGAATAGTATGCTTTAACATTAAGCTAAGCCTTTGGGAAACCTAGGATTCACCAGATGCAGGCTGTTTATGTGAAAAATTCGCAATGCAAAAATGTCATATGCAATGTCAAATGAGCGCGAGTAGAGTAGTATCGGTTAGAAAAATGTATTTTTGGTAGATATCCTTTTTATCACTTAAACATTGCAGTATGAAATCAGTCCTGAATACTTCCATATTTTTATACATGCTAAGCGTTGTTTGTATCTTCTCCAGGTACAATTTTTCTATTAAGTCCACATCAGATTATTACACAAAAATCAATTTACGCGTACAAAATTCCGTGAAGAAGGAAAACATTTTAACAAATTTCAAAAACTCCTCCATTTCAAAGTTACGAGCGATCGAACGAGCAAAATTCCTGGAATGCACGATGTCAATTTTCAACTTCGCTTTTGTGGAATTTCTGTTAGCCGGACTTTGATGGAAATGAAATCACAATGGAAGATATTCGTAGTGAGATTACAATACTATTCTGATAAATCAGATTAAGCTTCAGTCTTGCTTCCAATCTCTTAACAAATTCAATTCATATCGACAAATATTATAACAAAATACTCTACGAATATTTTTAGATCGATTGTATTCTACGATGCACGTGTTCATTGTCTGATGTGTCGGATGATATACGCCGTTACATTAGTGCAATCGTTAACAAAATTATAATTACGTATTCGATTTCTGTCCAGATGGACTATTGACGCAATCGAAGAACAATAAGTACTGGACATTTATTGTCCGATAAAACGTAGCTAACAAAGACCTTAAGTAGAGCCATTAAAGTGAGCCGTGGCTTAATTTGATCGATTGTCGATTTGTAATCGATCACATCTACACGTCTATAATTCATTTTCCGTACGTCAGTACTATGTTTTGTATGAGACCGTATTTAATACACGGGCGATGACGGAGATCTTCGAGACACATGGTTAAGGTGTCTTCAGCAACTACCACATATTTGTGACTGATTGCGTATTATTTGTGACATCACAAAAGTTTTTACATAAAAATTTGAGGTCTGCTATTAACAATAGCAATGGTGCATCGAGAACGAGAATGGTGGCATCGATTTGCGTGGGTCATAAACGAGAACGTGCAATCAGCGATACCGCATAATTGTATTTTCGTTACACGTGTAGCGGTGGACAGAAATTTGCGTTCCTCTACGATCTCATCCACTTCGAACCCGTGAATCACGTAATTCAGCCAATCAATTGTTGATTTCAAATGACGATACTTAATAGAAGTTCAAACGTGGAGAAATCATAAACATAAGAGAATCGAGTGTCAAATGTATGTATTCTCGTAATAAGCCTTTCGTTCATCATTTCAGCTCCAAGCGCCAAAGCCAGATAATTGAATATTAATTACGAGTCAATTCAATAAAATAAATTCTTGAGGAATATTTGGGAGACATTAATGATACAAATGATACAATAATAATTGATATAAATATATTTATACATCCATAATTTAAATTATTTACCATATAATGTAAATAATACTTACCCAATTATTTGATCGTGGCGGGTGACATTTACCATTTTTTCTTTGTGCCACACAAGATATTCTGTGTAATGTTCGATACCCTGCAAGCATGATTCGGCACATAATCCATGACCACCTTCAAATTTTCCTCATGCGGTATTCAGTAGCACCTTAAAATCGTCTAGCTTTCGGTAAATGGGATCGATGTCGGTGAAATTCGAGACGTCACGTCGTCGTAGTCAAAATCATTTCGAGGGCTTCTATAGAGGGGAGATATCGACAAGATATCTGCTTTCATCCCGAGCAGATGGTCTACCTTGTCTATGATGTCTACGAGAGAAAATAATTGACTTTTTTTAAATAATGTTTACAGATAGTATTGATAGATAATCAATGATCTCCTATGTCATCTCCATCGCTGTCCTTGGAGCTCCTCGTATAGATATGATTTAAATTCCTTGATTTAATTTCCTTGTTACGTGTGTATAAAATCAGTAGAGATGAATTTTTTAATATATCGAACCCGGCCAATTTAAAAGGTTTTCGAAAATATTTTCGAACGAATATTTTGAAGCCCTTTTTAGCAAAGCGTGTAATAAACGTAATAGGCCATTATGGGAGGCTATGTACCTTATCAAAGTATAAATTGAAAATCAAAACAGGTAGAATTATTAATATTTGAATTGTCTCATATGAAATTTCTGTGAATCTATTTTCGAGAAGACACTAGGGTAATGAAACGGAAGAGTCTGCTTTTATCCAATGAAGCTGGTGACGATTTCCCAAAGGGTAAGCTAATTCAACTCAGTCGATCGCGAAATTTAGTTTGCAGCGCGGTTTAATAAACGGATACGCGCGGTCTAGGTAGGAAATTTCAATCTGAAGCTGGCATAGCCGCATAAAAGTGCTATACATGGACTACGTATTTCTAACGTAAAGGGTTTCGACTCGGCCCCTCTCGGTCCAGATTTATAGACTTGCATGAGATGCAAATTGAAACGGGCGCTTCGCCTCGAGACCCGTTTGCTATACAAAAATTAAATCGACGAAGATTGTGCAGAACTTCGGAACATTAAAACTTCGTGCACGGCATCAATCATACATATATGTACGAGTATGTATTAAAAGTACCTATTATGAAACACCATCCTCATTCTGATCACTTTTTGAAAGTGTCATCTATGATAAAATAAAAGAATAACTGAACCATAAGATCCATACATATTTCATAATGTCTATTTTAATTATTTTAATGTCCTTGTTTATAGAACGGTTCAAATATGCGTTCCAAATGTACTATAACCCGTCCCTATCTCTATAAGGTACTAATGTTCATGTCTAAAGGATAATAAAATAATCAGTCATAATTTTGCGTTTTAATTCGTCATTATTTTAACAGTTCAGAACAAAATAATCTGTTAAATATGTCATTTAACAAATAGAACGTCGTCATTAATAGAGTAGATATAAATTATATAATTTATATAAGGAAATAATGTACTAATTCTAGCTACTTTAGTTGTGGAATGCAACGTCGTCCGAACACTATTTACGATACTCCGAATTTGTTATTGGGGGTAAGAAGAACCAGGAATCCAGATGCAGGCACCTTCACTTTCGTAATATCTTTGATGTCCGTCCTGCGTTTATAACAAGCACTCATCAAATTTAGTCATAGTAATAGAAAGAACGCGATCCAAAGATTAAAACTTATTATAATTATATGATACGAGAAAAAATAAAAAGTATACTCACTTCGGTAAGGAGGCTGAACCATTGGTGGCGTAATAGGTGTGCAGCTTCTTGGGTACGTTCGTAAAGGCTGAGAGGTCTACAGTATCGTCCTGAGCACTGAAGTTAATTACTGAATAGACAGATCCGTATTTCTCGGTTTCCCTGAAACAATGAATGTAATTTCAGTAATAGTGGAATAAATGTGTAGAATGCATGAATCGATGATCGATTAGATTATAATATGAACTCCAATCATAAAATGCAATGAAGTAATCACAGTTGATAAGTAATAAATTTTTCGAATGACATAACGTTGATGTCCGTTAGTGCCTCGAGTCAATTCGATGATCACCTTCAAACAATCCACTTTTTCAAATTTGCTCTATGCAGGATAAATTAATAAAAATAATCGTTTGAAACTCTTAATTTTCTGAACGTATGATCACATTTCTTATTGACTATAGAAAAGCTCATAGCAATTTTACCTGGAGAAAGCGAAAACGTTGTCGCTCAACAATTTAGTGTTTAACTTCGCCAGTTTAAAGTTTTTGGATTTCTTGAGTGTTGCCAGCTTCTGGTACATGGTCCAGACCGAATTCTTATCCTTCTTTTCAGCAGCCAAATTCCGAGTCTTGTAATCTTCGTTGACCTTGATCCAGGTTTTCGGGTTCGTGGAAA